AAAAAAAGGTCTAGAAGAATAGACCCCAAATTAATAAGGGGTTCAGGGGACCTCTCATCCATCCTGTCCTTCAGGATGTTGAGCAACAGGGTATGTGCCAAGGATGATTAGCCAAATGGAAAAGTCATATCATGTACACATTTATCTTACATGAAAACAACTATATACATTGGGCAGGGAAATAAGAGAGAGTCATAACCGCAACTAGTGTGTGCAGTCCCCTGCAGCCCTGGAATGTGCCTGAGGGAGACTTGAGACCCTGTTACTCCACAGTCACTGGCAGGTCCCAGAGCCTCTCAAAGAGTGTGCATCTTATGGTACTGAGCACGATTCCTGGATGTAAAGACGTATGAAGTTGGTTTGTGCAACATGGCTCCTAGATGAAAGTCAGCTGTTTCATCAATGATGATCGCTTCCATCTCAGGGAGGAAAACGTACTGCGAGTCTCTCATATGGCGCCTTCCTAGAACATTTTCAAGGGTAATCTTTAATGTACTGTACTGTATATACTCTTTCTTCCCATGCCAACTTACAAACTTCTTTCCTGCCTTCCCCTCATGCTGTTTCATCTGGCAAGCATCTTATGCAGAGGCCGAAGTGAAGTCTCCTTCCTCCAGCCCTCAGTCTAAACCTGGGGACACACATGCTCAGACACGACCACAAAGAGAGTTAGCTGGCCGGGGTTAGATAGCGGGCCCCACGGCTGCTCGGACAACCAGCTGCATAGCTGAGGATAGCAGGCTGCTTCACACATTAGCTGAGGTGGAACAGAGGGCTAAGAAGAAAGTCAGAACTGCTTCTAGGAAGCAAGGACTGACCCCACAGGGAGCTAAACAGGGCTGAGCCTTGCCCTGGGCAAAAGAAGGCATCTGGAGAGGGCCTGCTATCCATAGGCACAGACTTAAGCCCCACTAATCAAACCTGGCACCACCCATGACAGGCGTTCACCAGTCAGGTGTGAAGTTTTTCCTGTGTGAGAGAGCATTTAAGCCAGTAGAGAGAGAAGGGCTAAAGGTAAAATGTAGCGGCACGGGGGTGGTGAACTTTTTCTTACTCTCATGTTTTCCTAGAAAGAAGGCAGTGGGGTTTGGAAAGGGGTTGAGGGAGGGAAATTTTACTTTTAGTTCCGTTTTCAGGTGATTGCATTTCCAAATGCTCAGAATCTCCACTTGGATACTTCATTGGCTCCTTAAATTAAGCTGCCCAAACATGAGCTGCCCATGCCCACCTCCTCTTCCCTACCACCATCACCATGAAACCTGCTCCTCTTCCTTCGTGTCCTGTCTCAGGAAAAGATGCTAGAATCTACCTACTTGCTCCAGGGAAGAACCTGGGAGTCGTTCTGAACTTTTCCTCTTCTTCACCTCCCACGTATAGTCCATCAGTGAGGCTGTCCATAGTACCTTCAGGACACTTCTCGAATCAATCCACCCGTCTTATCCCACCTCACTTGTCCAAGGCCCAGCCACTCTCTGGGTAACTTGGAGTCGCTTCATAATTGGTCTCCCCTTTCCCAACTCTCTCATCCACTCTCCATGTTGAAACCAGGAGACACTTTTTTTTTTCATTCAACTTTTTATTTTGAGATCATTGTAAATTCTCATGCGTTTGTAAGAAGTAACAGAGAGATCCTGTTACCCAGTTCCCACCAATAGTAACACCTTGAAAAATTACAGTACAACATCACAACCAGGATATTGACATTGATACAGTGGAAGCACAGAACATTTCCATCAACACAGAGATCCCTCCTGTTGCCCTTTTATAGCCATACTGTCCTCCCTCTCCTCCTCCTCCATCTCCCACCCCATCTCTCATCAAGGGACACTTTTTAGAAAAGATAC